GTCAGTGGCTGGCAGCTTTCTAAAACTTTCATATTAGGGGTTTAAATTTGGCAGGACTTGGAATATCTGAGCAAACACCACTCAGCTGAGGATGAGAAGAAAAGAGATGCTTTTTTCCATTATAACCACAAAAAATGTTATGCCTTCTGCACACTGCTAGAGCCAAGGTAGCAGGTAAAAATGGAACGGGTCCATTTGGCAGGTGTATGCCCATTAGGGTACGGAGGTGCCCTGGCAGCATCCTGGTGAAGATCTGCTTAGATCTGGCAAAGTCCTAAGGGTTTGACAGTTATTATTGCTCTTGTACTTGTTCAAATAGCCAGAGGTGCTTTTCAGCCTCTCCCAGTAATCCCAAAGAAAACGATATGCACTGTGCCTTCATGTGAAAATAAGAACAGGTTGGAAAATGTTTCCCCATCCTTATAAAACTTAGATATTTTCGCATAAGAGGGAAAAAAATGAAATCCCCCAAATGAAAATTTCTTGGTAGTTTTTGGGGGAAATTTCCATTTATTTTTTTTTTACCTCTTTTGGCTAAACACAGGATAGGAAATACAGGAAACGTCTATTTTCAGCCCCAAATTTCCTATTTTGATGGGTTTTGGTCTCCAAATGAAAAATCAAACACTCGAGGAAGGTAGATACTTCTTATAAATGTATTTGAGTTGGGAACCCGGTTTTCTACTGAAATGAGTTTGGATGGTAAATTTTTGGCCAGCTCATCTTGTAACCCACATTTGTCCCCCTGCTATTGGCTGGACAGAGACCCTGACAGAAGCCTTGTGGTTACAGATGTGAAGCTAATTTCACCTCTTAGTTAAAATGCTACAAGTAAAATGTTAAAGTTGATTAATTTACTGCTTGCAACAGTTTAAAGTGTTACAAATAGTAAAATGCAGAGAGCTCAGTGTCATTAAATCACTAGAGGATGCTGCAAAAATTGCGTAGTTATTATAAGCTGTCTGTCTGTTCACTGCATAGCTGAGGTGTAAAGCAGTGAAACCTCTGTATCCACTAGAGAGAAGAGATGCAGATATCAGAGCAAATCTGAGAAAATTCCATTGAACTGGATAAAAGAGAAACCATCCAGAAGAGTTGAGTGCAATAGATTCAACCTTTCCTTTGGTGGAAGCGAGGGAAGGGAACGCCGGCTAGGTTACCTTGCTTGACTGAGCTTTGGAATGATTTCAGGAGTAAAAGGCCTCTCTCGTCTCCATTAATCAGTGTGAAGAGGACCTCTTGGTCCCTTCAGGTCTTGGAACTTGTTCCACCCCTTGTAACTAAATGCTTCCATCTTTCTGTTTGATTTCTCTGCCTAAAGGTGGGCCTTAATGTTCTGGTTCAGAGAGCGAACAAGTTTACCCCAGCCACCCGTCTCTTGATCCAGAGGTTTGTGCCATTCCCTGCTGTAGGTAAGACCATACATTTTCTCTCTACTTCGTGTGTCTGTGATACTTATCTAACTATGGATTCATGCTCTTCCACCTATGCAGGTAGTTTCTGTCTTTGTGACTTGCACTGCCATTAGAATGCCAAGCAAACCACATTGCCAAATTATACAATGAGTGGTTGGGATTACGTTTTCCTAACCAAGGAATTTACTGTTACAGGCGGACCTTGATGTTGGTTGGTAAAGAGCAGTCTATTTGGGTCACTCATGCCATCGAGAGAAGATTGGGCTCTTCTCAACTCTACCTTTGGTGATTGTATAGCCCTGTCTTGGAGCAAACAAACTCTAACGCCTGCTGTTTATGGACCATGGTTTGGTTAATAGAAAGCACTTGCAAGGTGTTACCAGGCTGACATGTTTTGGTTTGTATCTTTGAAATATCATTTAGGTTAGGGGTTGGCAAACTACAGCCAGGTTGAGATCTAGCCCATGAGGGTCTGATTCTGTGTTGGAGGGACACCAATTTAAAAGGGACACATTGGGCATGTCTACACATGTAATTACACATGCCTAAACTTAATGCATTCTTGTTTAAGGTGCGTTAAGGTGATTTAGGCATGCATCTACCCATAGACACACTAATGCACATTAAGGTGCATTAAATTTAGGCTGGCATAGCTAAGCCGCATTAGCCCACATGTAGCTGTGCTAATGCACATTAATGCAGAGTACATCAATTAACATGCGCTGCGTTAATGCATATTAAGGATGTACATGTGGGCTTCTGTGACTTAGCTATGCTACTGTAAATTTGGTTTTTGCTTTAAGCAGGTATCAAATGTAGGCAGGATTAGCTTAAAATCATGATTTTTAAGGTGTATTAAGGGTGTGTGTCCACACGTGTGCGCCCTTAATGCATCTTAAAAATGGCAATTTTAGGCTAATCCCCCTAAAGGGGCCAGGTGTAGACAAGCCCACTGACGCAGCAATTTAAAGCTTTCTGATCTGTGCCCTCACCACCAAATTTGCCCTTCCCTATTAGCATTCTCCATAGCTTTCAGTGGAAAGGGGAACAGAGCAGGGCGGGGATTGGAATAGCTGGGGAGGAGGATCAGCAGTCCATCGTGGTAACTGGGTCACACGTGTCCAGCCTGCTGCTCAGAAAGGTTGCCAGCCCCTGACTTGGGTGAAGAAGGCTGCCTTTTTAAGTGCAAGAAGATTTGGAGCTGTCTTTAAAGTATTCCAGAGCAATGAGAAAATATTACAGAAAGAACATTTTTTAGTAACAGGTAACGAGTTTCGAGGGCTGAGGTCAGAGTGCAGGGATCTGCACATGGTGCGGTTATTTAAGGGGTTGCTGTCCAGTGCCGTCTACTCTTCCAGGCAGGGACCATCCCATTTCCTTGTAAAGAGGGAGGACCTCTTGAGCCCCTTCCCCTCCCCGCCCATTAGACACCCACATTCATTTTGAATAGCAGTAGTGAGAGCTAGGTGTTAATGCAGTAGCCAGCTGCTTCTGGAGCTGCACCTTCAAACTTACTTATAGGTTCCAAGTGAGGCAATTATTCCTGGTATTAATCTCTCCTTGGTGTTTAGAAAGCACAACACAATTAGCAGTAGAAGCACCGATTCCCAGTGAGATCTGGCGCAAATCACAACCAGATTTGTAAATGGCCTTATATTGGGGCGTCTTATTTTTTAAATGCTCAGGTTAAGCATGCTCTTTAGAGACACTGAGCATCTTCAGCTCCCACCAAGTCTGGCTGGAGGAGAGGATGAGCTGGCCTTTTAACAACTAGGCCCAGAGATTCTTAATTTGGATGCACAGAAGCGTACACGCCCCAAGTGTACACGCTCATCAGGATCTGGGGGAGCGTCTGTTCACCAGAGCGCCCCAAGGGCTGACAAGATCGAACGGTCACAAACTCCACCGCGACCAATTCAGGCTGGACATAAGGAAGAACTTCTTTACTGTCTGAGCACCCAAGGTTTGGAATAGACTGCCGCCGGGGGCGGTTCAAGCACCCACTTTTAACGCCTTCAAGGCACATTTGGATGCTTATCTTGCTATGATCCTATGATCCCTGCTGACTTCCTGCCCCTGGGGCAGGGGTTGGACTCGATGATCCTCTGGGGTCCCTGCCAGCCCAAATGTCTATGAAATCTATGAAGTCTGTGGCTACTGTTAGAAGTATTGGCCTTGACCTTTTTGTGCCTTTTATGTTTTCTGGTCTCCAACAGCCATACCACAGAGACAGACCCTGGATATCTGTTCTGTGAAGCTCTTGGGACACTCGGCAAACACAAATAATGATAATACTTGTCTGCCTATAAGACCTGTTGTGTGGATTGCTTGTGGTGCACTTTAAACCTGAACTGTTCCTTAGGCTTCTGTAAAGCAGTTCTCCCTTTTCATCCAGGAAAAGTGTGACTCCTTCCAGGACCTCAACAGGCAACAACAGTTGTAAATGGTATATTTTATGCTGGGTAGAATGTATATGATGTTGGTTTAGGATCATAAGCAAATAGGGCTGGAAAGGACCACACAAGGTCATGTAGTCCAGCCCCTGCTCAAGGCAGGATCATCCCTGACTAAACAATCCCAGCCAAGCACCCATCCAGCTTCCTCAATTCCTAAGCTTGTGGGTTCAAGGTGCCTATACCCAAGCAAATGCACCTAATCTCATCTGAACATGGAAGCTAAGCAGTTCTGGGCTGGGTTCATAGCTGGTTAGGAGGCTCCTGTGCATCTCCAGCACCTGGGAATACAAATGAAGGAGCTGTGGGTGAATGCTGTGGCTCAGATCCTGCTCCATCTCTAATATGTTTAAGGCTAGGAACATACATAACTTTGAACCACTTTACAACGGGAGAGAGAATTGCTGCTTAGGTACAGGCATGAGCTGCTCTGATGTCACTGTTACATCTGCCGACTGTCATAGCAGCGCAAGTAAACTAAATCTCTGTAAATATAACTCTGTGCGAAACAGGGGTAAGGCCACAACCATTTTGCTGCAGCACAGGAGCATGCAGAGGTAATGGTTACATCAGAAAAACACATAGCAGTGTCATTTCATAACCATGCTATTGTAATGTCTGGCTGCGTATGCCCTAGGTAGCACTTAGATGGTTTTTTGTTATCTAAGCCTCTAAGGCTGATCTTTTTCCACCCTGCTCAAGTCTCAGAAAACGCTTAACCCATCTGCTTTTGTAATGCATTGGTGTATTTTTCCAATCACTGTTTCACACAAAATGCACAAATAACATTGGGAGCCAGGGCCAACACCCAGACCTCCCTCCCTGGGGAGTGTCGTCTCCTCTGGGCTACAGAATCAGGCTCTCTCTTCCCTTCTGTCCTAGTCTATGATATTTGCATTCCTTTTTCTCCAATAATCCAGTTTCAACACAGGGCATGGAGGAAGTCCTCTGCTCTGCCAGCATATAGCCTGGTGTTTAGGGCTCTCTTGTGGGAGATGTGGGTTTGAATCCACACCAGTTGGCTACCTGAAGGGAAAGCTGTCATTTCACCAGCTTCCTCTTGACCAAGCTTGGCATCAGCTAACTCGAGATCAACCCCTGGTATAGGCAGATCTCCTTGAGGCATCAACAGAAGGTCATGAGATTAGAGAGTGCAGCCATCCTTCAAACTGATTGGACTAGTTCTGTGATGTGAGTTGAAGAACAAGACCGCGACATGTTATTTAAATATCCAGGTAGTAGCCAAGTAAGGATTCAGTCCTGTGAGGTGCTGGGGGTCCACACCTGCATTTTGGAAATGAATTGGGAATTCAGGATAGCTAGCACTTTGCTGCACAATATAAAGGGATCTTAGTGTGAGTTAGAATCAGGCCCTCTGGGATTCAGTACAGACTTAAATGGTACCTAAGCCTAGCACAGACTCTGCACAGAGGTAAATCTAACCTTTAGAGCTAAGCAAATTATCCACGATTGTTGATGTTCATTGGATGATTTTTTTGTGTTGTTGAAATGATTGTATGTATTCATCACTCAGCGCTCTTATTTCTCCAGCATGTGGCTCTCAATCAGCAGACCATTCAGGAATTGCACACTTCTAAAGGAAATATGCAGTTCAGACTTAGCTACCAGCAGCTATTTGATCAGTCAGTCCCGACACTCACAATCAAGAATGCCTGTACTGCTGAAGATTGATGTTCATGGCAAGTAAGCACAGAGGGTCAGGAATACAGCTGGCTGAATAGTCGTACTTGGCCTTTCCCACTATTCATTCAATTTGACTTGAAGCCGGTAAGAGTTCTCGTACATCACAGATTGCCATTAAAGTCACGCTCCTCCTGCACTGGCGAAAGAGAAGAATAGAGTTCCCTCTAGTGCACTGTGGCTGTAGGAGGATGTTGTACCAAGAGGGCGATGTGTCTTTCGAATTGCTGAAGATTGCGGCAAACAACCTTGTAGCAAAGGAACTGTTCAAAGCTGTGGCAGAAGTTGTGTCAAAAGCAGGAAGCTTATTTCTCAAAGTTCAGTTTCCATCCCCAACCAATTGAAATAATAGTAAATATTGACTGACCATAGAAAATGACAACCCTAAAGCACTTTGCATTCAAGATGCATAGTACTGCTGTGGGTTGAATGGGAGATGGAATCAAGGCCCTAAATCAATGATAGACTTCATCCTTATGATAGCAAAAATAGATGCAGTGCTTTTGCTGAGGGAATGCCAACTTTTTGGAGCTGCCTATAGAAAAGGGCAGAACAGTGAGAATAGCGGGCATCCCTCTGCCCCTAGCTCTTCGAAAGTACAAAATGAAACCATGCTGCAGTTTTGTCATTTTAATAGTTTGCTCCAGGCAGAGAGACCTACCTTGGAACAAAGGTGCTGCCTGTGGTGCAGTGGTGTTCAGCCTTCTGGCCCCGTAGGCCAGATGAGTGGTGCAAAGCTACTCTGTGGGCCATTTTGGGCCCTGGGACCCAGCACACTCCCCTACACACCAGAATTGCAGCCTGTGGGCTTAGCACCATCCTGTCCCAGCCCACAACACTGGG